AGATTTTCAGTACAAATCGGCAATTTCATACTTTAACCCCTATTATATAAGTTAAATTAAATCAGTAATGATGCACGATTTTGAAAGAAAAAGAAACAAAAATGGAAATTTTATTTTAAAGTTTTTAATTCAAATTTATGACATCTTAACGAAGTTTCATTAACTTTTAAAAACTTAATTTTATTTTCATTTGCAAATAATAAGTACTAGGTTGATTTTGTTAGTGTTTATTTAATCATGATTTCATGACAAAATTACGTAAGTAATTTGTTTTGTTACCTTTTTTTTATGTCATTGAAGTTACTACTTGTGATAATTTACTGTATTTTCTTATTTCTTCCTCCTGTTTTTAGGTATTCGGCCGACTAGTAACCGAATATTCGTTGCAACTCTAGTTTTAACTTAAATGAGCGTCTCGGGCACGCGGGAGAGTCTGGCTTCAATTTGGTCTACGCGGCGGCCGCGCGTTTGTATTATTCAGAGGAATTTAAATGTTGTTTCCTAGTAAATAGAATTCAGATTCGCCATTAATGTACATGAAGGCGTGGTAGGTAGGCGATCGCCGCGCGGCGGCCGCGCGATGTCTTTCGCCTCGTGTAACGGCATAACGGTTTTGTTGCCTCCATCACAAGAAAAATAATAAAAATTAATTTAAAAACGTACAAATAGAACACAAGCATTCCAAATTCAAAATTGAAAAAAGAATTAAACAGCTAGTATTATTTTCTTTTATTGAAAGTTTGTCTCAAAACTTATGAACACATTAGAGTTATAATAATATATTTTTTTAATTATTTGGTAGGTATTAGTTGATGTGGCGTAGTGTAGTTCCCGCCAGATAAAAATTTCTTAAAAAAATTATAAACAAATTTAAAAATTATGTCATAAGTCACCTCGCTTCCTTCCGCTAGCGCTTCTTCACCATTTTCACTTATTTCGCTTTTCGAGGTTTCACTGCCTTCCTCCCCTGCCACCTCGGATTGGGATTTCACCTCGTTTTCCTCCTCAGCATCAGTCGGCAGCGGCTAATACAACATTGCTATGTCATTAACCAGAAATCTACTTCTGTCTCGAGTATTTACCTAACTACTCGAAAACTCCATTTACAAACTTATTATCTAAATCACGTGCATAACTATGCTAATTTAAAATTACATAGCTAATATTGAAAGTTGAAAAGCTTCATTTTTCATTCAAGTTCGAAGCTCGATTCGTTCACATGCGAACGTTATTTGTTCAAAGTAGTCCCTTCACAAACGTGCAATTTTGTAGCTTTTTACCTCCACGATCTTATCCGGGTCGGGGAGTAAGTTGCCGGTGTAAAATTCCATGCCGGGCTGGTTGCTGTATACTTCTAGCACCCTGCCGGTGCATGGGTGCAATGCCCTGAAAAAGAAATTAAGATAACTTATAACTCCAGTACGGAGGCACACAGTGAAATTCAATTAGCTACATTCTAGGTAGGTTCATACAGAGGATAGTATAGGTACGAGAGCAAGTCAAAAAGTTCGCATAATATACGGGTTGAACATTTCCTTTTTTTTCCCTGGTAGGTACTTAGGTACTTCCTATTCATATACTCAATACAATTATTCTACATACAAAGTTTACTAAATACAAAGTTTTAGTCAAATCGAGTCATAAGGTTTTAGTTAACGCTAAATTAACATGTCAAGCGGGAAGAAAAAGCCAACTACGGACAAAATTGAGTTTTGTGCCGTGACGACATTCCTTACCAAGCAAGGAAAATCACCACAATCATTTTAGACGAAATGTCATCTGTTTACGGGAACTCATGCTTTGGAAAACAATGATTTAAACAGAGTTAAATGAAGAAGGACACCAACAGAACCGGGCGCTTCAGTTTTTCTGCAGACAATGACGAAAAAGTCAAGGAATTCGCTCTTGAATATACTCACTTGAAGATGAAATAAATTGCAGGAAGAGTGGGAGTCTAATCTATAACCGTTTCGAACACCCTTCAAGACCATATAGCACGCTTATTCAAACAAAGAAATAAATTAAAATAATGAAATAATGTTTTTTGGCCATTAAGGTTTAAAGTTTTGTATACTTCAAGTACAAAGTTTGTATATGGATAAGAAATTATGTAGAATTTGAACAAATAGAATAGTTGTAATTTGTAGATGAATGTATAAGCATGTGCAAGATTTATTTAAAAATTATTTATTGTATAGAAATGAACTATGAAGTTAAAAATGTCCCTACTTAATTAACTTTAAGACTAAAACTTAGGGTATTTTATCAAGCATCTCGCGGAAGAAAACACAATAGGTAAGCCTGTTTATTAACAAAAAGATATTTAACCATAGGGCCAAATAAGGCTTTACTCCACTTTTATATTGAAACATTTAAAATTATTTTTATGAAATTTCGTAACTACTTTTAGGCTCCCTTTTTATGAAAATTTACGAACTTAGTTTCTTGATTTTTTAATAATAAAAGAAAACATGAAATTAGATTTTATTAATTTAAATTAACAATAAATAAAATAGGAACATATTCTATCTATACTGAACTAAACATAACACTTCTAAAAAGTATCGTTAATTCAGACTCCAAATTATATCACAAAAATTAACATCAAATATCGTACAAAATTATTGTACTGTAACATATAATACCGAGTATATTAAATCTGCTTTTTTTTGTCTTTTTGTATAAGTTTTTTGAAGTGATCTTTCTTGGATAAGTCTCATCTTCCTTTTATTTAGTACATTTACTTCACCTTCTTTGTAAGAACTCTTAAAAAAGAAACTGAACGGTTTCTCCTTCATCATCAACACTTTTACGTTATTTCAGTGAACTGTTTGTCCGTCTGTATGTGTTGTAAAGAGTTCCCTGTATCTTTAGGTAGGTACCATTTTGGTCGTGTTCTACCTTTTATCTCGCTCAATTTTATTCAAAGCGAAAGGCAATTGGAGTGTACTTATTATTTGCGTGGCGTTACTACGGTTTATGATTACATCTTGTAACTTGTACATTTTGAGTTATTTCTTTATTTGAATATAACATGCGATATATTGACTTATCTAAAATGCTAAATGGGCCGATAATGCTCTAACGGTTAGAAACGGCAGCGCATTGAATGATCACGTGCGGATTTGGAACTCTGCAGTGAGAACAGGAATGAAATATTGAGTCAAATTATCAGTGGACGGAACTTGAGTATATAGCTATAAACATGAATCAAAACAGGAGTCAGTACAATGGCACGAAAAAGCGGCAACACCGCCCAATAAGGAATACACAACCTTTTTGAGAGATCTGATAAATGTACTAGATTTCAGAGAAAACGTACCGAAAAAGAAAAAATAATAACTGATAAATGTATTAGATAGACTTAAGGGAGAATATACTGAAAAACAAAAAAGAACTTGTTTCATTTTGCTTCTCTTCCATGTTCCCCTATTGCGCGAACGTTTTGACGTCCCCTCGTATACACTCGTCCAACCGACCAGCTTTTGAAGGACAAGCGTACAAAAGTATTCCAAAAACACTTCTCCATTAATTCATTCCATAATCAAGCTTTTCTCACTATCCAAAATTCCACTCACGACCCAAAGATCCTTTCACAGGTTACACAGGTTATTATTGTGAATTGCACAAACACAAACTAATAAAAATTCCGTTTTTTGCAATTTGTTTAGATAAATTTAAAAATATATTGTAATATAGGGGTTGATAGAAGCAATTTTGACGAACTGAAATGAACATTTTTAATTAGAAATAAAAAGGCCTATGTGATCGTACTACGATCGTTACAATCATTGTAAACCTACATTCATTGCAGAAATTACCAAGTTTCTATTCACCCCATCTCATTATTATATATCATTTTAACAAACTGCACACGACCATGATTTTTAATACTCATTCTTTGATTACAGCCGAGCGACAGAGTCGGTAAGTTATCTTTACCTACTTTCACACAACTATCGTCATATTATATTTTAAACTATTTTTTTTGTATATTCAAAATGGTGTGAAATACTTTCGGAATGTAACTAACAAGTCGAGTTGTTGCTCGTGTGCAATTTCACTTGATAATGTAGTTTATTAAGCATTAAAGAAATTGCGTGTATCACTTGATACAAAGTTGGGCTTTTATGCAACATTACGGACAGTTATTTTACGTATCGTTTTGAAATAAAACAACAAATTAAGATTTGTTTACTGTTGTAGTACCTACATACGCCTACTAATATTAAATCTGACGGTAGACACTCCTACTTGTAAACAGCAAATGTAAAGACTTCTTACCGACCGTGGAACGTTAAATCTTGCTCAGTACCCTGAGTAATACAGAAGTTAAGTTCGTATCCTCCCATCGGGACCCTAGGTAACATAGTTCGAAGAAGTCTTGGCACCCTGAAGTCATATGGTGTACCACCTACGACTTTCTTTTCACCTGTGAGATCAAATCAAAATGTTTATTGTAACCACGGGGTCGATCTCAGAACCTATATTTTTATAAATCCAATGAGAAATGGGACAGAATCGAACAAATCACGATAGGTTATAGCTATTATTCTAAATTGGCACTTGAAAGGGTTCTGTAGCTAATTCATTGATTATGCATGGGTTGCATCGTAATTTTGTTTCAGCAGCTTGATTTGGTTCTCTCTCCCGATCGGAAACCCTTGACATTTCAGATCAGAACAATAGTTTATTTAACTCACAAATTAGAAAGATATAGTAGGAATCACGTTCATCTTTTCGCTCGTAAACCCATCTGATTTCGATCGGCTACCCGATTCCGGTTTGAATTAAAATCAGCCTACAGAACGTTTTGAAGCAAAACTGCAATGTGGAATCTGCAGCTTGATTTCGATTGTCTGTTCCGATCGGAAACTGCGTTTTTTCCGAGTCGAGGCGCATAATTGCGATTCACAAGTGGCCGATTGGAAACTTTTGACACTTCTAATCGGAACAATAGTTGATTTAATTCACAAATTAGAAAGATATAGTAGGAATTAAGTTCATCTTCTCGCTCAGAAACCCATCTGATTTCGAGACTTCCCGATCGGATCGATTCCGATTTGAATCAAAATCAGTACGCTGTTCAGTGATGATTCCGACTGCATACGTTGTTACATTATCTATGACTTAAATAAGCTGGAATTTATGGAGTGGTAATAAAATATTCATTGTTTATAGTAAGAAACTTACAGAGAGATTAACAGATAAAACGGAATGACTAACAATATTTAAATATACAGGTAAATACTTATAAAACCCACCATGATATTACTATAAATTCAAAACCAATAAGGTTTAACCAGTTAAACCAAAGATAAACTCTATAATGATTATCACTAATTTCAGGCTTCTTACCACGGTATGATTTCTTTTTATTTTCCCGATATTTCTATATAAAACCAACTCAGACGGATAAATATTTACATGCCACTTTACATCATCACCCAAAACACCTACATTCGGCCGTCAGGACATTAACCAATAGAGCTTATATGATTTTTGTGATGCACACCACCTGCCACAGGAACAGGAGCACGTTAAGACGGTTTTGCGACAGGTTGGATACGAAATAAAAACATGTAAACCAATACACAAAAGGAAGAGGCAAATTGACGTACAGATTACCAGTTTTTCTGCCCTATGTACAAGGGCTGTCACCCCTAAAATAGGCAGGTTGCTAAGGAAGTTTTCCATAAAAACCCCCTTAACCGAAATAGGAAAAATGTTACGTTCACGAAAAGACCACCTTACTTTACAAACACCGGGTGTCTATAAAGTGAACTGCAGTTGTGCGAGCACGTATATCGGTCAGACTAAACGAACAATAATTGTCGATCGTATGAAGGAATACATCCGAGCATTAAAAAACTGATGCACAGAAGCCGGCTATAGCACAACATCTCACACAGACTGACACTAACCACTGGATCGAGTTGCATAGCCCCCAGGTACTGTCAACAGCACGTCACTACATACCACGGTTGGAGAAGAGAAACCATTGAGATCACGAAGTACAAAACACTTAACCGTGATGATGGTTTTAAACTGTCCAGTGCATGGAATCCGGTCCTTAGTGCATGCAGTAATAAAAACAAAAACACCTCGAGTTCAGTTTCGCGTGTGGTTACAGTGTGTGGTTTGTGGGAAAAAAGTGAGTGATAATGGTAACGCCACAGCAAATCGCGATGAAGGTAGTAATCGTCGACAGCGCAAGAGGGTAGAAAGATAAGTCTGCTCTTATAGCTGTCATCTGCCACTGTCCAGTCAACCTGTGACCATGGAGCGTGCAACCGTTCCGAAATAGCGGGAAAATAAAAAGAAGTCATACCGTGGTAAGAAGCCTGAAATTAGTGATAATCATTTAGTGAATAACCACGAAAGCCTTAAAATCTATGTATAATGATTGAAAAAACCATTGACTTACAATTATATGGACGTCGGGTCCGCGCTAAAAAGTGTCCGCACTTGTAAGGCGCTAAAATCGTATACAGAGCGCGACACTCCGCTTTAGTCTTCATTTGTTCTACGGACAGCGCGATACTGCGATGACATAACAATTTAAATTTCGAATAGGTTGACTTGGGACATTTTTTTTCGTTGTTTTTGTATTAGACCCGTCGTCCATTTATTTGTAAGTCAATGGAAAAAACTTTCAAATTTTTATGTTGTTTTACGCAAACGACATAAACGCCATCTATACAAAAGCAAAAGTACTAAAATTAACAATAGGCCTGATACGTGTACTTAGCAGTTCAGGCTAATCTTAAAAGATGGCACTAACAGTAGCGCAAATTTCACAGCATTGGATCATAAGACGATTTTTAACTTAGGGTTTTGTTAAAAAAATTTTTCTTTTTTTTATTTACAATTTAATGTTAATGTCAATTTATTGTTATTTACAATTTTTCAAATCTCCAATCACTCCATTTTAAGAAGAAAACTACATTATTCATATTGAAATAGGAAATTTTCAAAGAATTGGTCGCTTAGCTTAAGATCCATTGTCCTAAAGCGGTCTGGTGTTTTATTCGACGCTCTACAATAGATGGCGTTGCTAGGTACAATTTTTCTATTTTTGATTAATATAGCTATGGCGCTAATATGCTATGTACGATTGTTAGGATAGCGCCACATTCGTTTATAAATGCTGGATCACATCGAACATGTGGGCTAACACGGCTAGTTATATATTTGCTAGTGATAAATCATGAGGCGATTTTTTACATTCTATTAAACATACCTTTATTACTTTAATGACAAACGATAGTACGAAAGTATACTATGTATTATCGACAGAATAGCGCCACATTCGTATATGCTGTCACATCACAAAATAATGTCGGAAGACATCAGCTAACGAGTCAGGCCAACATGGGAGCTAACACGCCCAATAGTATATTTCTAATGATAATTTATGTGGAGTTTTTATATGTTCCATATACAACACTTAATTTATTCTACAGGGTGGACCAAAAGTCCGTTTACTTTTCAATCGGTAGCTGCGTCGAGCAGCGACGGCGGGGTGGGACGGAGAAGTTACGAAATGCAAAAGCAGCCAATGGGAATTCAGTGCCAAGGCGTCGTTTAGGGGAGCACAACGTGCGCTCTGCGTACGCGAGTACTATCAAAACAACGATTCTTCGACTATAGCGCAACGAAAATATTGCCCTCACAACTTACGGCATAAAAATAAAGCTCCGTCGATTCAATTGATTAGAAAATGGGTCCTGAAGTTCGAGAAGACAGGTTCAACAATGGATCAACCACGATGCGGCCGACCTAGAACTTCAAGAGATCCAGAAAACGTAGAGCGTGTAAGAACGTCTGTTCGTGAACAACCTAGCCTCTCTACTCGAAAGCGGTCTAGCGTCGTAAATGTGCCCAGAACATCTTTAAACCGCATTCTCCACAAAGATTTACATCCGTACAAAATTCAATGGTCCAGGAATTAAAGCCTCAAGATCATGCTCACACGCTCCAATTTGCTAACGAAATGCTACAGAGGTTCACTAGTTTCACCAACACTTTTTTCTCAGACGAGGCACACTTCCACCTAAATGGACACGTAAACAGGCAAAACTGCAGGTATTGGAGTGACACTAATCCTAAATTGAAGCATCAAAACCCCCTGCATTCACCCAAGGTTACCGTATGGGCAGCGTTGTCAGCAAGAGGCATTATTGGTCCATACTTTTACAAAGATCAAAGAGGACATGCTGTTACAGTGAATACAGAGCGGTATATTGCCATGCTACATAACTTTTTCGCTCCAGCGCTACAGAATTTTGATGGTTTTAATCAACCATCATGGTTTCAGCAAGATGGGGCAACATGTCACATCTCCAATGAGTCATTGAATGCAGTTCGCAAAATTTTTGGACAAAAAGTTATATCCAAAAGAGCTAACATTAACTGGCCACCTCGTAGCCCAGATTTATCCCCAATGGATTTTTTTCTTTGGGGATACCTTAAAAGTAAAGTTTTCAACAGCAACCCAGTGTCTCTTGAGGAATTAAAGGAACGTATTCGCGAGGAAATGCAGAACATTTCATAAAACACCTGTACAGCTGTCATTGAAAATTTCCGCTCCAGGTTACTGCAGTGTCAAAATAATCAAGGGTCACATATGGATGATGTAATTTTTAAGAAATAAAACCCCTATTTGTGTACTTTCATAATAAGTAAACAGTTTTTATCTCATTTATCTAGTGTTTTTGTAATAAGTTTTTGAAAAGTAAAAAGACTTATGGTCCACCCTGTATAAACATTAGTAGGTACGAATGTATGCTATAGCGTTCATTTCTTGCTTAATGCTTTTCATCGAGCACAGTGGCCTAATAATGTTTGGTTGTTAAATTAAACTCCATTACGCCATTACCACAACACCCAGCATTAATAATGTCACCGAAAAATGCTAAAAATAAGGGAAAACCATATTCACGAAGTACATGTGACAAAAATAAAGAAGCCAAAATGTGGGGTGGGGGGGGGGGGGGGGGGGGGTTAATTATTATTAATACAAATACGTAAGAACTTGTTTAAATTTAAACTATTATCTGATATTCCACATATACGCAAACGCCAAGAACGAGGAAAATAAATTAATAATACTATTATTAACCACGCAGTGCCTACATGGTGTTCTTGTAATTGACCAAAGCACTTTTTGAACAAATTGCTAATTAAAATCTATCAGGTGCACTACGAGTATTTACTCCAAACTTAAAGAACTTCGAAATAAAGTACTGTCAAGTACTGTTATCGAAAATATTCCAACTGATTAATATCCCTTTGATACATCGTACTCTCGACTCGAAACTCGACTGATTTTGTTGTAAATTAATTACATCAATTAATTACAATTTTCAACTATATATTACCTACATGGATGTGACGAATATCACTAGTTAAAAAATAGTATTACTATAT